CAATAAAAACATTTTTCTATTAATGAGTAACAAATATACTAGCCTATCTTAAACTTTTTGATATTAAGTGACATGTAAAAAAGTTGTAAAATGGAAAATAGTTATTTTGTTGAAAAAGATGAGTTGAAAATGATCAAAATAGTTCATATATAACGTGAAATACATCACTTTCTAAAATTGTCAAGTGTATCTAACCAAGTTCACTTACGAGAATTAAAAAATCAAAAATAATTATAATCCTACAAATAGTCCTCTTCAACCACTTTTACGAATTATAAGTGTTATGTATGACTAGTTTAGCTACTGATTCTTCAAGCAAGTAAATTTGACAGCGGATCAAAATCTATTTGTCATTTTGAAGCTTATTTTATTATGTTATTTATTCTAGGCTAGTCTATTCTGTCTTCAATTTCATCGTTCTTTGTTGTTGTTTTTTGCTACAAAAAAACAACGTCTATAGTCAGTCTATTGAAAAGTAAGATAATTTGACGTATATCTCGTTTGAACACTTAAAGTGTGATTTTAATCTTTTCTATTATATATTTTGTTATTTGGTGCCAGAGATATTTGAAGAGTTGTCACTTTCACTAGAGTAGTGTAGTGGACTGCGCAGAATAATATAGAAGAACAGCAAGATATATATTTCAATTCAATAATTATGCAAATCTTAACTCGGTGTCCTATAACATAAGTTTGTTATATTTAAAAAAAGTATATACATCAAAATCTTAGAAGACTTTTCTTAAAATTAGAGAGTTTGCAATGTTTTTACTTTTTGTTTGTACGCTGCGTGATCAATTCAAAAAAGAATTCTTTTCCTTGATATACTATGAATAAACTGTACCACAAAACAGAGAAAAAAACCGTACAAAACTATAGACAAAGAGAATAAGGAAAGTTTTTTTTCTCTTCTTCGTCTCTCTGAGACCTTATCATTCTGACATTCGAAATGTATATACATTTTCTTTTTCCTTCTGTTAACCAAATATTTAAATGACAACGCAATTGATAATTGAAACACAGGTGAGCACTGGTATTGTTAATTGTCTTTTACGTGAGGCGGAGACAAGTCGTTTGTCGGTGCGGATATAGATAAAAGAAAAAACATAGTCTGTAGAGAGATATGGAATAGAACATATTTTAATATAAATTAGATTTCTGCTTCTTATATGAGGTGGATTATAAACTTGATAACTAATTAGAGAAAAATACGAGAATTGTTGACACACTGAAAATGTGCTTTATAGCAAGCCGTTTTTTTATAGAATAATCAATTGGAAAATGTGGTAGTTTGTTCGTAAATAAAAACAGTAAGTCTATTCCTTCTGTTGTTTGATTGTTTTGACAACTAAGATAGTTGGCTGACTAACGTCTTTCTCAGTCCATACAGCATTCAACTACAGTCAGTGCAGTCTCACGTCTTTCATGATAAATAATAATTATCTCGATCGGTCTATATCATATAACCTGCATATCAGCATAATGAAAAATTTTGAAAAGCTTGTTTGTTCGAACAATCGATTGCTGAATAAGGCTCTCCGTACTGGATTACCTTGTACGCAGCAAATGTCGGGTTGTGGTACTATTAGAAAAAAAAATTCCAACAAGCCCACCCAAAACTGTTGCGCACACGACAATAGAGTATGCAGAGTCCCAAATTCAGACTCTAATTCTACAATCGGTCTCGACTGAACAAGCTCTTAATAGACTACCTCTCCATTAGATTGACAGGATCGGACTACTTATCCCGGACGAAACAATCATTTAATAATTAATATATAGGCACTTACGCCTTAAGTAGGCTTCAAAAAATTCTCAGTTCATAAATCTAAGCACGGTAAACATTCTAGAATATTAGTATTCTCAACTATAGCCTCAACGACCTTCATTACAGATAGGAAAATACTCAACGAACGACAGACTTTATATTGTGCATACTTTTCTCTTACCACAAAGAGCGACAAACTGTTCAAGAAGTCCATATGAACACATTGATAATACTCTTCTGTTATATGTTGTCACCTTCTGACATAAGGGGATCCTTCATAAGACTTTAGTAGAAAGAGAAAGTGAATGCTTATCAAATTTTACAAAATGGATAGTAAGTGTTCTCAGAGGTGATTCGGTAGGCAGGTTCACTGCAGTTTTCAAATGAGATATTTCGATGATCATGTCGATTGATTAAATCGAAATTTTGTTTCTTTAACAAATGCTTACGGCCATACCACGTTGAATGCACCAGTTCTCGTCCGATCACTGAAGTTAAGCAACGTCGGGCTTGGTTAGTACTAGGATGGGTGACCGCCTTGGAATACCAAGTGTCGTAAGCTTTTTGATTTCTGTTGTTGATTTACTCCGATGAAATAACACAACTACATGGACTTTTTTGTTTCGAAGATGAACGTGTCATATATAAAGCTATTGTGAATTCTCTTTTATTAATATTGTGCGTTTTTCATCATAATATTAAGCAGGAGTTGAAAATATGTTCATTGGTGAGATCAAAGCAGAATAAATTGATACCACTATTTCGCTTCCGATTAATAGTTATCACCTCACTCCACAGACACATATATATTTTTATTTTCTTATACTTTATTATTAATTTATTCCAACTTTTTAGATCACCAAAAAAAAAGACTTTTGATCACCAAGTTTTTTTGAGCATACGGCAACAATATTTTCCTTCTGTTGCTTGTATTATTGAAACGAAAGGTAGTCAAAGTTCTTTGAATTGCTTTAACAGTTAGGATCATGTCGTGAAAATTATTAATGCAGCGTCAAAGCGATTTTTTAATTAAAAAAATTACCATTTTTTCGAAGATTGAAAAAAATCACAAAGCACTATTTATTAAAAAAAGATGAGAAACAAACTGTAGAATGAGTTATACTTTGTAGGGATTGTGAAGACTTCTATTTCCAAGTCCTTGACTCTGCACTGCACTGTAAAAAATAAAGTGTGTAAATGACACACATAAAGTGAACGCCAAGTCGATTCTCAGTGACCGTCGAGATCATTGAATGTCCCTCGACCGTCGTGTGTAAAGTACACACTGAGAAGTGACTGTCGGCTCTACACACTGAGGTCAATCATATAGTCTACTTATCTAAACTATCTGTGCTGAAAATGTCTCCGATTCATCAATCGATTGTTCAAATCTACCATATGGTGATGGTTTTTTCACTTTTTTTCTTATACGTTTTTGCCCGAAATGACAGCATATATACTTTGAAAGATGGTGATCATGATTCTGAAATTATTTTTTCATTCGATGCAGTAGTTCGGGAGAAAAATGAAAAATAAGAGATCCTTTTAACGCACCTAGCTCTTTACACACTGAGATTAACCATCTAGAAAAGGTACACACTTTTCGACGTCGAGTGAACGTTTAGAAGATTTATAGATCTAGTAACACACTATTTTTTACAGTGTGTGTGTATAAGATACAAAGTATATTTTGTATACTGCTTTTCTTCCAGTTCTTTTTAAAGAAGACTACAACTACCACTGAATCTTTTTCGACCGGATTTTTAGGACTATAAGGAGAGAGATAAGAGGAATAGGATATGTTAAAAAACAATTTAAATTTTATCGAATTATTAAATATGGCTCACAGAAATGAATAAAATAAAGCAAGTCGATCGAATGGACAACAACACTGGATATAATGTAGCGAGTATCGTGAGCTTAACACTTGCGGTTGTCGCCATTCGAAAGTGAAATAAAAATGTGAGATGCATGCTGAAAAAAATTTGGTGATCAAAAGTACATTTTCTCTTTATCAAGCTAGAAACATTCGCAGTATTCTTCAACACAGGACTGTTTTTGAAATAATCAAAAATTAGTATCCATTAGAGTAGAATGAGCTCTAATGCATATAGAATGATAATATTAATAATAATAACGATAATGTGTAAAATAAATTCGAACCATAATAACAAAAAAGGAGATGAAGAAGAAAATATGATAGTTTCACCTATACATAAGCTTTGTTAGATTCTGTTTTAACATATTATATTACCTATTCGATCTATGCAGATAAGAAGGAGTAGTTTATGTATCACTAACTTAGGAAAGCTTTCACCTTATTTTCCAACCTTCAATGCTTAGTCACTAAGCATTGCTGGTACGGACAAATTTCTTTTATCTTTACTACTCAGTAGTAAAGATAAAAGAAAATTGTCCGTACCAGCAATGATCGTGTATGTTTTCTTTAATAAGTTGATAGTTTGACTATGATATATAATACGCTTTTCCACTGACCATAAAAACTGATAAGTACAATGAATGGACAGATTGAAGCCAGTGAATAATAAATCTTATTATTCTTATTCCGCCATGTTCGCCTTTCCTTGCTCAGTAACCGTTGCTGAATGTAGGACAGTAGAATAAATGCTTTGCTTGTATGTGACTCGGAAGAACTAGAGCGTCTATTTTGCAACAATAGAAACGCGAATAATATTTTAATTATTTAAAAACGATGTTCTTAATTATCCAAAAGAATTGTTTGCATAAATTAACTTTCTCTCATGATCATTTTCAATTACGAGGGGCATATATGCAAAAGAAAACGTAGTAAATTGAGAAATATAGTTTCCTTAGTATAAATATTATTCATGAATTTGTACATTTCTTTTCCAGTTCAAAATGTTCACTATTCGTGGTAACTTAAAATATTCATACAAACTTCCACTACCAGAAAGCCATTCAAGGACTAAGAGTATCTCACGGAAGCATCTGTTACTTTAAAACATAATAGTGACTATCCTACTCTCCTCAAACACTAAAAAGTGTTCAAATAGACTTAAAGTTCTCAACTAAATCATTTCTCACCAATAATTTATACTTTTCATTTGTAGAAATTATATATCAATATGTTACTATAACCGCACAAAGATTGTTGATTATAAAAATGCGAGTGTATTTTCTATTCAATTGATTAATACTGGCTAATTATTGGTATTTCTGTTTGTTGTATTTAGTATTTTTATCCTACTCAATGAATCAAAAATCTGCTCGTCGATTTGTTTTGTCATCAATTTTACTTAGTTTACTAGCATTTATTTTTAATGTAATTGCCCTTCTATCACCCTATTGGAAATCTGTTCATTTACACGAACAACAAAATTTGCAAATCGTCGATGATCATATTGATCCTCTGATTCGTGCTGAAGTTGAAAAATTCTTTGATGTAATGTATCATAGTGATACGCATTATTTCGGTTTCTATAAACATTGTACTCGATCAACAAAATCATCTACAACTAAACAAACAAAATGTGGTCATAATTATGTACCAGTGTTTAATGATGCTGATTTTGAAATATGTCATAGTGTTGAACGTCATCATTATTGTATATTTCACGCGTTATCGTTCGATGACAATGAATTATCACAAAAATCTCTATCAAAATGTCAATGTAGTTCACCCAGTTATATATCTGTATCAAAGATGCTACTAACATTGGCAGTCATTGTCTTATCAGTTTGTATTCTAGTCAATATTTTACGTTTATTGAATATGAGACGAAAATTATTCGTTAATGATATGCAACTTCGTCTATTATCAATTATTTGTTCACTTTTTATTCTTTTATTTTCAATTATTATCTTAGCATATCAACATTCAAATAAAAAATACGAAACATTAGAATTTTTTGATTCATTAAGGCGACATTATTCACAAATACAAATATATAAATTTAGTAGTCATTTAACAACAATTATTGAACGTTTTGAACAGATACTCGTTATTAAATTAGGTTCATCATTTACGTTAGCTACATTAGCATTATTATTTACGTTTATCGCATTTTTATCATCAGCTATGGTAGAAATAAAAACGTCAAAGCTAACATCAACAAATACAAACAGTAAACTAAGTGAATACCAAACGAATAATCAGACAGCCTTTATTAATCATATAACATCGGATCATAATCACACTATTTCAACTTATATGCCACAAATTGTATATTCTAAACAAACGAAAGTGTAGACATATTTCTTGTATAAGCTTTTATTTCCATATTTTTAATAGAAAAGTAAGAAATATGCGGATTTGGATCGATTATAAGTTTAGACACTGTCATTTTCGATATCTTCACCGTTGTATGTAAAAAATGCTTATCTTTGTCTGACGCATATAAAACATGTTACATCCCTAATCGCAGACATTTTAATGATGCGAGACTTAGCACGTATAAATTGATATTCTAAATTAAGATGATACAGATATGACAATATATGTATCGTTGTTTAAAGCTTATATCTCCGTTTCAGAACTCTCGCAACGACTTGTTAGTTTACAGTCACGTCAGTATGTTCTTTTTCTGTCTGGATCTAGCGTCCGTAAAATATAAACTGGCGTAACTTAACATAAAAACAGCGCTGATAAGACTATTTGCACATACTGTTAGATGATGCTTTCGACGACTAATAATATTTTATTATTTCTAATTTTTAACGTCAACCTGTTTGAAAAACTAACTGAATTTTTATAACAAACGATATATCTATGAATATATTAATAATACTCTTCCATGTCGTCACCTTCCCATACATACGGATCCTTATGAATTCCTATGCAATTCTAAGTACTCTTTCTGGTTGTGATTTTGCATTTCTGCAGTAAACTTTCATCTTTTACAAAAAAGAAAGTAGCTTTGAAACAACGCACGAACAACCCGTTCGCGATAGTTTTTATCAAAAGCCATGTTTCCGACCGCAACAACTGATCGGAATCTCAGTGACCGATTTCGTCCAATTTTCCTATACTATCGAAAACAACCTACACAGACTAGCCCATCATATCTGACCGCCAAAATCTAAGTGAACGTTCCTTTCTTACGCGATGAGCCGAAAAAG